TATTTTCGAACACTGTATATATATATATATACCTATGACACATGAAACATGTAGGGGAAAACTACCACTACCAAATATCAACATGTACTTGTAAGATGAAGAGTTCATAGCAAAACTACGATCTCAGTCATATACACAACAAGGCAAATCTAAAGCTTCCTACACCATAATCTCATTGCATGATGAATCCCTCTATGCTACCACCAATAACCCAATTGCACATGACACACTACCAATAACAAAACAAAGGACATGTACTGATCGAAGATGAAGATAATGACAATGCTCTCTAAGAGAATTAGAGAAATTTAAACTAAAAATAGTATTTATTTAGACTATCACTTTTAGACTAAATACTTACACTAGCATTATTACAAAGTTGCAAACATTTATTTTTGTGATAGTTATATATAATTAATCCCTCATATATTATCTTGCATTTATATACGTTAAATTACCGATTTTAATAAACAAATTCAACATTTATTTACCTATGCATATCTTCTATATAATATTATATTGATATACCTAGAAATACTTATTTAAAAATAATTATTGGGCATTATCCATTCGCGCAAAAGCGCGTAGAAAAACTAGTATATATATATATATATATATATATATATATATATATATATATATATATATATATATATATATATATATGGGATGGTTCACGTGCGAAGAGTGTCCGAGGTGAAAGATGGGTGAGATATGAGTTGTTGATTTAGATCAACGGCTCAAAAAAATGATTTTTTTTTTTTTTAAATGTGCTTCCTAGAAACCGCATGCTTTCTCCTCCTACCATTGTTGAACTAACACACCTTAAGTGTTGAATTAATTGGCACACATTAAGTGTTAAAACGACGCACCTTATACGATAAAATTACGCACCTTATGCGTTAAAATGGTGCACATTAATGAATTGTTTGGTTGGATGTACTTGCAATTTAATTGCAGCCTAATTCTTTGGCCATTCGAATTGCAATTCATACCCTCACCCCATATGAATTGCAATTCAATGGAGAAAGGAAAGGGAAAAGGGAGGAAAATAATTGTTTTTATCCTTTATTATTACCATTATTATTACACAAGGACATTTGAGTCTTTTTACAACTTCTTCCCTTCTCATTCCCAATAATTCTATTATGAGTAAATACCCAAAATGATCCCTCAACTATAGCTAAATTCACAAATTGGTCCTCGACTTTCAGTTTTAACCAATTAAGTCCTTAACTTTGCAATTTTAACACGATTTGGTCCTTTGAACACTTCTGCATTAACGCCCGCGCCGTCATCGACGATCTCCAGAAGAACCTGCAGCTCTCATCGGAGCACATGAAGGCCTCTAGGATGACGCTGCACCGGTTCGGAAACACATTGTCTTCTTCACTCTGGTACGAACTCAACTACATTGAATCCAAAGGGAGGATGAAGAAAGGCGATAGGATTTGGCAGATTGCTTTCGGCGGTGGATGCAAATGTAACAGTGCGGTCTGAAAATACAACCGGAACCTTAAAAAATCGACGATGGATCATGAAATTACATATATATCCTCAAAAATCACAGTCAACAAACAGTCAAATAGACTGAGGACTAAATCGTGTTAATATATATAATATAATAATATAAATAATAGTGTCGGTTATTCGGTGATCGCGGTTATTACAGCTTCGTAATTGATAAACAACTGAATAGCCGAATAATCAATTTTTTTTTGCCTTATAACCGTTAACCGAAATTATCGGTCGGTTTGGTTATCGATTATCGGTTTTTCGATAATTATACTTACCCCTATTGGTGTCATTGTTGTCATGTTGTGATGAACGAATTTATGTTATTTTCTTATGAATAAGTGTTTTAAGTAGATAGCAATTAAGTTATTAACATAGTCACATTAGAGTTTAGATTTTAGGGACACATCACACATGATTAAAAAAAAAATAGGCAGGCTTTGGCGGGGGCCTGCGGGCCTTGGGGGGGGGGGGGGCTGCCCCTACCTAGGCCCGTATTCTTGGTGGGCTTTTTAGCCCGCCCCGTCCCGCCAGCCCGCATTGACAGCTCTACAAACAATGTAATTTGAATTCTTACTTTATTCCACTTTATTCTTTTCCCACCGGATTACAATTCATTTCCCCCATAATTCTTTCATTCCAACCAAACGCCCTGTAAGTGTATAACCTATGCACATTAAATGTAGAACTGATGCACCTTAAGTATCAAACGAACGCACCTTAAGTGTAAAATTGACGCATCTTAAGTGTTAACTGATGCACCTTAAAGGTTCAAACTGACACACCTTAAGTGTAAAATTGACGCATCTTAAGTGTTAACTGATGCACATTAAAGGTTCAAACTGACACACCTTAAGCTATAAACAGCTTAAGATTTAAACTTAGGCACCAAACGAGATAAACGTATGCACATTAAGCTTTGAACTTACGCACCTTAAACTTTGAAAATACGCACCTTAAGTTTTACAATTACGCACCTTAAGCTTTCAACAATACAGAAAAAGTACAAATGCCACCGCATTTTTTTTTTTTAATCTTCATTCTAAGTTGTTGATTTTGGTAAGATCAATGGCTATGATTAATTCGCATGTTTCACCGTCAGAAGCACATGCCAAAGAAGCAGCACTCGCCGCAGGATATCGAATAGATCCAGTTGGTTGATTCAAGTCTAAATAGCATCAAACAAAGAGATATAAAGGTGAAGTAGTTTCTCCCCATTGATCGAGTTAAGTAACAATAGGCATGCCATCACAGGCAAAAATAAAAAAGGCCTTTAACATCTAAGTAAGAAGAAGACTCACCTCTCTTACCAGACTCGTCTATGTTATCATGAGGGTCGGACCCTATGAGCCAAATAATATGTTTATCCTTATTATATATATATATATATGTGTGTGTGTGTGTGTGTGTGTGTGTGTGTGTGTGTGTGTGTGTGTGTGTGTGTGTGTGTGTGCGCGTGCGCGTGCGCGTGTGCGTGTGCGTGTGCGTGTGCGCGTGCGTGTGCGTGTGTGTGAAATTATACCATACTAATAAATCTTTTTTTATTAGTATACGACCTCCGCAAATTATGTTGTATGGTGCACACGGTTGCAAAAACGATGTCGTTTTGACTAAAAATGCACGTCCCACTTTAAAAAAATGCAAGTTCAATTCCCGGCAATAGCATTTTTTTGTGCATAATTTGAATTATATATCCACAATGAATGAACTAAATATCCACAATGAATGAATAACTAAAAATCTAGAATGAATGAACTAAATATTCACAATGAATGAAATAAATATCCACAATGAATGAACTAAAAATCCAGAATGAATGAACAACATAATGCTGTTGAGGGGAATCGAAACAGATTTTTTTTTTTTTAAATGAGACGCGCGTTTTTAGTCAAAACAATGTCGTTTTGCAACCGTGTGCACCATGCATGGTTCACACGGTTGCACAACATAACTATTGTACGACATCCATCCCATTTTATGTGTATGGTTCGATTAACGATGCTTGACTGAAGTTATTTTTAATTCAATTTTTCATAATATTTAGTTTAATATTAGTATACAAAATTTATATATTTAGAAACTACACTAAAAGTACTATTATACACAAAAAACTAATTTTAAAAATAAATAAATAATACTAAAGAAAATAAACAAAGAAGAAATGATTGGTTTGACCAATGAATAGTATGTAGGACAGATAAAATAGGACAGATGAAGTATTCATTTTTAATTAACTGATGATTTATTTTCAAATAGTATATAAAAAATGGACTTGTAATAATACATTAAAAATGACCATCTAATATATTAAAAATACATTTTCAATAAATTAAAAATAAAAATGTATATTACATTATAATATAGATTATGGTCCATGATGATATAATGATTGAACCGGTACCTCCGCCACTGTTCTTGATATTGCAGAACCAGTTGTGTCCCCATTGACAAATTCAACAAACGACTTTTGACTTACCTAACGGGAAAAAGACTAGAATGTGCGGTCAACAAGCCCAAATTCTCAAAATGTGTCCGTATTTTTTTTTTTTTTGACAACAATATGCAAAACTCCTTTTGGAGTTGTGTTTTTGGTGTATTTTGTATTTTTCATGTATTTGTGTAAAACGCAAGAGGCAGTTGCGTTTACGTATTTGTATACGTAAAACGCAATACGCTCTTGCGTTTTTCAGCGCATACGGTATCCCAAAACGCAAATGTAATTTGCGTTTTACGTATTATACGTAAAACGCAAAACCAAGTTGAGTTTTTGTCATTTTTTTTGTACCGGCCGTCTCCGGTTGCATTCTATAGTCTATACATAACGTACGTACATCTGCAGTGCTCACTCTTTTGAGTTTGAGTAAAGAAAAATGGCGAGCATTGGCAACTGTGTTTTTTGGGGATTCGTTCGGGTGGCAACACCCTCTACGGCGGCGGATGGTGGCGGTGAGAGCGGAATCCATAAACCCAGACATCAGGAAGGTGGCTGTGTTTTTTGGGATTCGTTCGGGCGGCAACACCCTCTAGGGCGACGAAGCCTCGGCGGCGGATGGTGGCGGTGAGAGCGGAATCCATAAACCCAGACATCAGAAAGACGGAAGACAAAGTGGTGGACTCCGTGGTCGTCACCGAACTCATCTTCATCGCCGGCGAGCCCCTGGAAGACAGTCTGATCTTGCTGGTGGAGGACCGGACAGGTAAAGATCCGATGCTTACGTAAAACGCATCTCCCAATTGCGTTTTAACGTATACGTATTCCATACGTATTGTGAAAACGCAACTGGAAGATGCGTTTTGCGTATTCAATACAGAAAACGCAACTACCAGTTGCGTTTTACGTATTTAACGAAAAAAAAATACGGATTAAATACCTTCAAAAACGCAACTCGCAATAGAGTTTTGCATATTTCTGTCAAAAAAAAGTCAGCACACATTTTGGCAAATTCTCACCCCATTCTACACATTCTAGTCTTTTTCCCCTTACCTAACACCATCTCTGGGGGGATATTGCCCTATGCTAAGCCACTCTCTTCATCAACATACTACAATCTCTACAATGCGATTTCTGTGAAGGTATGCTTTATTTTTATGAAATTCCATGTTACTGAAGAATTTATTTACTTTGATAGTATAGCGTAATACCCAAAAGGCCAAAGCATATATATCTTGTTCGATAGTTCTAACCATCTCTGCTATGCCCATTCCATTTATGTTTCTATAATTGAGACTAGAGAGTAACAACTGTGATCTAAGCTTCAGAAATGGCTTTTGTTGTGGTAACTTCTCTGCTAGAAATAGTAGAGAAACTTCTGCAACCTAATCCATCTTTGGTTATTTATAATCGAGAATTGGTAGTGTCTTTGTCCAATAAGCTCCGATTTATTCAAGCCTTTCTTGAGGGATCTGGGCTGAAAGCCAACCACACCCAGGCAAAGGAAATGTTGGAGGCAGAGATCCTAGATGTAGCTTCTGAAGCAGAAATGAAAATAGAATCTAGGTTGAGACAAGTTTATAATTTGGCAGCTAACAAGGGAGAGGGAGAGTGTGTAGTTGCAGCTTGTGAAGGGCTTCATCAAACCTTGGAAGAAGTATTAGTAAAAGATATTGACCCAGTTGAGTTAAGGATCTTGAGAGAAAAAATAACAACTTCATCCCCAGAAGTTAGCTCATCAGCAAATGATTTCAAGCTGGACAGTATGGTTGGGGCTGCTACCCAAAGGACTTTAGAGCCTGAGGATCAAGTGATTGTAGGATTTGGGAAAGATGAATCTATATTATTGCAAAGGCTCCTTAACCAACATCTATTGAAACGAGAAGTGATCTCGCTTGTGGGGGAAGGAGGCATGGGAAAAACTACACTAGCTAAGAGAGTCTTTGAAGAACTAGCTACTACTCACTTTGACATTTGTGCATGGGTCGTCGTGTCTCAAAATCATAACCTCAAAGAGATGCTAATTGGTATTTTACGTTGCATTATGCCAATCACGAGTGAAATCTCCATGAAAGACGACTCCCAGCTTGCAGAGCATCTTTACAGAAGTTTGATGGGTCAGAAGTATTTAATTGTCTTAGATGACATATGGACTGTTACAGCCTGGGATGCCATCCAAGGATGTCTTCCAGATAATTTAAATGGAAGTCGAATCTTGATAACTACTCGGTTCACAGAGGTGGCTAGGTATACAAGTGAGGATCCTCACTTCATGAAGTATCTAACTCTAGAGGCAAGCTGGGCATTATTTGTGAGGAAGGTGTTTGGGAGATCCGGTGCTCGGTTTTTCTTCCTTACATGTGAATATCAAACTTTTGGGAGAAATGATTTTTTGCCCTTCAAATTTGAAGACCCTAATTCGACCACCTGGGAGATCAGGAACTTTCTTCAATTCCTGGGGAATCGTATTACTCTGCAATGCCATGGACTACCACTAGCAATAGTTTTGATTGCTGGACTTCTGGCTACAGTGAAAGATTCATTAGAAATATGGAGAGATGTCGAGAAAACTCTGGATGGAATAGATAGCATCGATGACAGAATTTCAAAAATACTTTCATTGAGCTATACCTACTTGCCTACTCACTTGAAAGCTTGTTTTCTTTATTTTGGAGCTTTTCCTGAAGATGGTAACATTCTTGTTAACAAAATAATCAACTTATGGGTTGCAGAGGGTTTTTTAAAGCCACAGAAGAATAAGAGTTTGGAAGAAGTGGCAGAGAATTGCTTGCTTGATCTTATTAATAGAAGTTTAGTTCAAGTTAACGAACTAGGTATTGACGGCAAAATAAAATCATGTAAGATTCATGACCGAATACATGAGATTTGCATCACAGAAGCTAAAAGGGAGAAGGTTGTTTGTGTTATTGATGGAAAACATGGTCCAAAAGTTAGCCGTTGGATAAGCTGTCAATCGAGTCATTGGCCAATTACTCGAGCAAATTATTGGAATCACACTTCCAAGAAAATCCATTCCATTCTATACTTGGGTAAAGAGTTATACCTTTCAAAATGCAGGTTGTCATACCCTTGTTTGGAATTATTAAGAGTATTGGATTTATCTTTAGTTAACTGCTCACACAGCATGCCTAGTGGAATAGTGGAGTTGATTCATTTGAGATACTTGGCTTTAAGCACTATAGGTTCTCTTTATAAGTTTAGATTGTTGAAGCTTCAAAATTTGCAAACTCTCATTGTTTGTTCATGGATGGACGATTATCCTTTGCAACTACAGTGTAATATTTTGGATTTGCCTCAGCTAAGGCATTTGCGCCTTGAAAAGAGATGTTCACAATATCTCCCAAGCATGGTTCGAGAAAATCTACATACTCTTTATTGGTTGAAAGTTACTAGCTCGGACCAGAATCCAAACTTTAGAATGGTTCCAAACTTGAAGGAACTAGGAATTTACGTTGAAGGTGAACTATTTCCAGGTTGTCTTAAGAGCCTTGTCCATTTACATGTACTTGAGAAGTTAAAATTTGAAATTGGAAGGGTTGAACGGTTTTATCTTCCCACTGCTTTTCCATTAAACCTGAAGATGTTGACGCTTCGTCGTACTTATCTTCCATGGAAAGTGATGGGCATAATTGGTAAGTTGCCCAACCTTGAGGTATTGAAATTGAAAGATTTCGGCTTTTGTGGCCCAAAGTGGAAACCAAAGAAGGGGCAATTTCTGGTATTAAAGGTGCTCCTTATTGCACATACAAATCTGAAACAATGGAATGCAGATGTTAATCATTTCCCAGTTCTGGAGCGCCTAATCCTAAGATATTGTTGGGATTTGAAAAGAGTTCCAGATTGTTTTGCAAAAATTGGAACAATGAAACTAATTATGTTAGATAGTTGTACTTCTTCTCTTGTGGCTTCTACAAACCAGTTTTCTTCTACAAACATGTTGTTGTTTAAGAAAATGCCTGATTCTGCACTTCGTGTTCGTCTTGTTGGAACTAAGGTTTCGCTCTAACTCTTCTTTAAAGTATAAGTTCTCTGTCTTCAGATTCCTTGTGTTAATTTATTTTTATCCTTGTTCTCATTTTCAATTACTTTTCAAGGTTGAATTGCCAAATAGTGAAAGCTCTGAAGAAGAGAGTGTGGAAAGCTCTGAAGAAGAGAGCGTGGAAAGCTCCGAAGAAAAAAGTGTTGAAAGCTCCGATCATGAAAAAGGGCTGAAAGATCGGAAAAGTGTGATGAAATATCTGAAGAAGGTGCCAAAAGCTCTAAAATGGTATGCATTGAGTGAATTGAAGAGGAAAGTCTGGAGAGCTCTAAGAAGAAAGTGACAAAGGAGGAGGCTATTCTATTGCAATGCAATATCGGTACAGTAGTTGGTATAAACATAATTTTACTTTCATTTCGTCCAAAGGGGAGGAGGCTATTCATGCAATAGAATTTGAACTTCACTTTATCTTTCAGCTTGTAGGCTCGTGATTGAAGTTAGTGATGTGGTCATTGCCAACGTCCACTGTTTGGTTTCGTTGAGTTTAGATCCAGTTTTCCAGTCAAATCCAGATTGGTGTTGATCTGTCTCTTTGGGTTGATTGAAGATGTTTATCATCTCGCTTTCCGGGGGAAGAAACTCACACAGACAAAAGACTCTTGCTTCATTTTCTCAGTGGACTCTTCAAACACAACTCAATGTTGTATTTTTTGCTTTCCATTTGATTTGAACAATATAATCAGACTCTGTTACATCCTAAGATAACTCATCAAATTGGTTTGTGTCTGGGAGGTGTTTATTTTGAATGTAAAGATCGTTGTATTAAAATTATAAGAATGCTACAATGTTTTATATAAAAATAGTGTATTGTACCCGTAAAATGTATTGCATGTTTAGCCAATAGTTCAGAACTGGCTAATGTTGCAGGCAGTCCACATATATATATATATATATATATATATATATATATATATATATATATATCCAGTTTTCCAGTCCAATCCAGATCGGTGTTGATCTGTCTTTGTGGGTTGATTGAAGGTGCTTATCATCTCGCTTTCGGGGGGAAAGAAACTTACACAAACAGAAAAGATCTCTTACTTCAGTTCCCCAGTGGATTCTTCAAGCACAGCTCAATGGTTCATCAAAATTTTGTATTTTTTGCTTTCCAGTTGATTACAACAATATTATCCATCTTTGTGTTATATTGCTTTCTGCTACATCCTATGTTGAACTCATCAAATTGGTTTCTACCTGGCAAATGTTTATTTTGAGAATGCTATATTTTTACATTCAACATTGTAGCATTTCCTTGAACTATATATATTGATTACCTTTGTATATGAAAGGAAAGATTAGAAAAACAGAAGAGTTGGTTGCAGAGTAGAATACTAAAATGAGTGCACATGTGCAGTTGGCATTTGCTGTATTTTAGAGTTGAGTTGCAGAAACATTTTTATTATCTTTGTAAATGAAATGAAAGCAGTTGAGTTGCATACAAATATATATATATATATATATATATATATATATATATATATATATATATATATATATATATTATCTTTGTAAACGAAATGAAAGATTAAAAAACAAAAGAGGTAGTTGCAAAGGCCAAAAGTCAATGAATAGAATACTAAAATGGGTTCAAGTGCTAGACAGCTGTATGTGCAGTTGGCATTTGCTATTTTTTTTCTGCCATTTATTTATTAATTTTTTCTTTGCTAACCCTTGGTTTCATGGCTTTGTCAGATTATATCTTGGACTCTAGGTACCCGCCTCCACACTCATGAGAAAGTAAACGCAGGAATCAAATTAAACCCCCATCTTGCCGGCAAAAGTAAGTCTTAAGTGAGGCTTATTCACTTGACCAAATGCCCTGAGGGCTATATTTTATTTGTGATTGGAAGAAAAAGTCTAAAACTTGACTGAGTTACAAAGTTCACTTATTAGTTTCATCTAGTCATTTTGATCATTCACTATAAAAAATTGTTAAATATATAATAAACTTTATAAGATTGTGATAGTTTTTGTCAGTTGACAAATCAGAACATAAGGATTATTTTCTTTAGATTTAGTTATTTTATCCAAAACCAAACTCCTGAACTACTAAAACAACTCATGAAGATATCTTAACCTTAATAATGTCAAATGTTTCCACTCACCAGAAGACCAAAATAGTGACAGATTTGCAAAGATGAAGATATATTTTACAACATTTAAAAGTAAGGAACCATATTCTTGATATTGCAGACTGTTAAGCTCTAAAGTGAAGTGTGTATATTGCACTGTGAAACATTAACACTGTGTAGAGAACAAAGAAAGCCTCCGCTTATATACAAGGCAATGGATACTCCTAACCACTCATTTCGAAATTCAAATGGGTAGTTAGGAGGATCCCTCTAACAACCTACTAACACTCCCCCTCAAGTTGGAGCATAGATATCAAACATGCCCAACTTGTTACATATATATGAAACCCGATTCTTACACAACCCTTTCGTGAATATGTCAGCCAGTTGATCACCGCTCCGAACATGTGTAAGTGATATTAGTCCTTGCTCCACTTTTTCCCGTATAAAATGGCAGTCCACTTCAATATGCTTCGTCCGCTCGTGAAAGACCGGATTATTTGCGATGTGTATGGCAGCACAGTTATCACACCACAAATCTACCGGTAACTTCACTTCAACACCCACTTCTTTTAGAATGTTACGCACCCAGACTATTTCGCTCGCCACATGAGCCATAGCCCGGTATTCTGATTCAGCACTCGAGCGCGACACCACATTCTGCTTCTTACTCTTCCACGAGACCAAGTTGCCTCCTACAAACACACAATAACTTGTCATAGACTTCCTGTCACCTGGTGACCCAGCCCAGTCTGCATCGGAGAACGCCTCAACACGCATGTACCCGTGGTCAGCATAAAGAATTCCTTTTCCAGGAGCACCTTTCAAATATTTCACAATCCGAACCGCCGCTTCCCAGTGAGTCTGGGTCGGTGCACTCATGAACTGACTAACCACACTCACTGGAAACGCAATATCTGGACGGGTGATCGTGAGATAGTTCAGTTTTCCCACTAACCTCCTGTACCTCTCCGGGTCTTCAAACGGCTCCCCTTCTCCTGCCAATAACTTCACACCTTGATCCATGGGTGTATCACACGGTTTCGCCCCAAGCAGCCCCGTGTCCCCAAGCAAGTCCAACACATATTTCCTCTGTGAGAGGAATATGCCCTTCTTAGAGCGCGCAACTTCAATTCCCAGAAAATACTTCAACACCCCCAGGTCTTTAGTATGAAACTCAGAGCCGAGAAAGGACTTGAGTGCCTCGATCCCACTCGTATCACTGCCTGTAATTACAATATCATCTACGTATACTATCAACAAAACACACCCATAGTTAGTATGTTTGTAAAAGACAGTATGATCATATGCACTTCTCTGCATTCCAAACTCAACGACCGCCTTGCTAAACCGCCCAAACCACGCACGCGGAGACTGCTTCAGCCCATATAACGACTTCTTCAGCTTGCACACCTTCCCAGACTCCCCCTGAGCAACAAACCCTGGTGGTTGCTCCATATAAACTTCCTCACGCAAGTAGCCATGTAAGAAAGCATTCTTCACATCAAGCTGATGCAAGGGCCAACGACTCGAGGCTGCCAAAGAGATAAATATCCGTACAGATGTTAACTTGGCCACTGGAGAGAACGTCTCGGTATAATCTATACCATACGTCTGGGCGTACCCCTTGGCTACCAAGCGTGCTTTGAGCCTAGCCACAGACCCATCCGGGTTCATTTTCACCACATACACCCATTTACATCCAATATCAACCTTACCAGGGGGAAGCTGCACCAGATCCCAGGTCTGGTTCTCCTCAAGGGCGTTTATCTCCTCTACCATCGCACGCCTCCAACCGTCATGGGACATAGCCTGACTCAGAGATTTTGGAACAGGGACAGACTCTAACTGGGACACAAAAGCACGTGAAGACGCTGATAAATTGGTACATGACACAAAGGCCGGAACGGGACGAACACAACGACGCGTACCTTTTCGAACAGCGATAGGAACATCTTGGTCTGTCGACGAAGATTCTGGTAAGGGAGGATTTACTGGTGGAACCGGTGGGGCTGCAAGCGCATCAACTTCTCTGGGCCGCCTGTGATAAACCTGCGTAACAGGAGGCCTAGACTCCACTCCTACGGAGTCCGGGATAGTAACAACATATGTCAGAAACTCATCTGTCTCGGAACTACAACCAGACGAACTAGGGGACTCTTCACTGAACAAAGTATTCTCGAAGAACGAGACATCTGCAGAAACCAAGTATCGCCCCAAATCCGGGGAGTAACATCGATACCCTTTTTGAGTACTCGAATATCCCAGGAAGATACACTTTAATGACTTAGGATCAAGTTTCCCTCTTTGAGGACGAACATCCTGGACAAAACACGTACACCCAAACACTTTAGGAGGAAGGGAGAACAACGGTTTGGACGGATAGATGAAATGACAAGGACTCTGACCCCCAAGGACCCTTGTAGGTAGGCGGTTTATTAAGAAACACGCCGTATGAACAGCATCTGCCCAGTAAGCCCTAGGGACTTTCATTTGAAACAGCAAGGCCCTAGCAACCTCCAACAGATGACGGTTCTTACGTTCTGCCACACCGTTCTGTTGGGGAGTGCTGACACAAGAGGACTGATGTACCATCCCATTCTGACTCATATAACTCGAGAAGGAACGAGAAAAATACTCAGTCCCATTATCACTCCGCAAAACCCGTATCATTTTATTGAACTGTGTTTTGACCATCGCACAGAAATTACAAAAGATCCCAAACAACTCATCTCTAGATTTCATGAGATATAGCCAAGTGTATCTAGAGAAATCATCTACGAACGTTACAAAATATTTAAACCCAGATTTCGACACTACTCGACATGGTCCCCATATATCTGAGTGAACTAATTGAAATAAAGACTCGACTCTATTATTGACTCTAGGAGGGTATGGTACCCGACAATGCTTAGCAAGCTCACATGACTCACATTGCAAGCCAGACAGAGATTCTAACCCCGGACACAACTTCTTTAAGACAGACAAAGGCGGGTGACCATACCGGAAGTGCAGCTGCAGCGGAGACATATTTCTCAACAAACCAACCGGAACACTTCCAGAATCTTTGGACAACTGTTCTAACACGTACAGCCCACCGACTTCCTTCCCTTTACCAATAATCTTCTTCGTCAACAGATCCTGAAAAAGACAATATCCAGGGAAGAACATGACACAACAATTTAGGTCCCGGGTAATTTGACTAATTGACAATAAATTGAATGGGAACTTTGGGAGATATAACACGGATGTGAGAGGGAAAGACGAACTAACACTCACACTACCTTTACCTAAAACAGAGGTGGATGAACCATCTGCCAAGGTAACCGTAGGGCCATATTTAAAGGAACAATATTCGGAAAACATACTTAGATTACCTGACATGTGGTCACTGGCTCCAGAATCAATGACCCACTGTCGAGACGAGGAGGAAACACAAGCAATAGGATTACCTGTTTGAACAAAGGTAGCTGACGGGGACGGCAATGACCCTGGACTGGCTGGAGACTGCGAGGATGACAGCTTTAACTGATTAAACAAAGCCATTTCTTCTTCAGTTATCACAACCGTCCCTTCCGGTCTCGAGGCAGAATTAGCAAACCTCCTATGGTCGGAGAGCTGTGAGCATTGATTACGCAGATGGCCGGGATCACCACAATTATAGCAAGCCCTTTGCCCTCGACCTCCTCCGCGCCCTCTACCTCGTCCCCTGGACCGACCTCCTCGACTATTGGCACCATCAGTCCCACTATTTCCCTGTGAGAAGAAAACTTGTTTCTCCAACGCACTATCAGTACTAAGGTTCACCGACGCATTTTGGACCATAGAGAACACTTGGTCGAGCGAGTCTAATTCCTTATTCCCCAACAACTGTGATTTCAAAACATCATACTCCTTATCCAACCCAGAAATCCAACTAAAAATATGCAACTGATCACGTTGTTTTTTCATTTGATCCACCTTATCAGTAATCGGCATAGCAGCACATAATGCCTCACTCACATTCTTGAAGTCATAATAGTAATCCCTGATGTCCCGCCCTTTTTGAGACGGTCGGTGAACATCCTGGGATAACTGATATAACTTCCTTAAATTATTCACCCCGCTAAACCACTTATTCACTAACTCCCACACGTCTTTTGCACTCGTACAATGCTGTAAAGATAGGATTATCTTCCTATCAATACAATTTATTATACGTGAAAACAGGGCGTCATCATCTTTCTGCCACGCTTGGGCTTCGGTAGGGTCTGCCGGACATGTCTCAGTTAAATGTCCAGCTTTACCCATACCCTTCAAGTTCACTTCAATTAAGAACTTCCATTCCCCAAAATTAGACCCATCGGGTGCCAACATCAAATCAACCAATTTAGATTGTGTTGACACCACGGTAACGGTCCTATTTTCTGCCATAATAAACACACAAAACACCAACCTGGAAACACAGCTTTTGACTTCTATGTAGACGACAAAACACACAACCCAGCTTCACTTCTTACTCAGCAAAGCAGCAGATCTGGAAATCTGGAAAAAACAGCCTGACGCAGATCTGGAAACCTGGAAACCAGTCCACTCAATCTCCCCTCAACACCGGACGGAGATATCCACATAGGAGTGTTGGGCGCACGGAGACGATCCCAGCCGTGTCAGCGGCGACCGGAGGCGACGTCGGAGAACACCGCACGCGCCGGCGCGTGGCGTCGGAGCTCCGGGAGTGCGGCGGCGCGTGGCGGCGCGTGGACCTTCCGATGACAGCTCCGATCCTCCCGTCGGCGGCGCCTCCTTGTTCCGACCAAAGCCCACCACCCGCAGGCCACATCTATGGCTCTGATACCATGTTAAGCTCTAAAGTGAAGTGTGTATATTGCACTGTGAAACATTAACACTGTGTAGAGAACAAAGAAAGCCTCTGCTTATATACAAGGCAATGGATACTCCTAACCACTCATTTCGAAATTCAAATGGGTAGTTAGGAGGATCCCTCTAACAACCTACTAACACAGACCAAATAACTAAGGACCAAAAATGTTTAAAAAAAATAAAATTAAAAATGACTTGGTTATGTAGACCAGCCATTCACTCCAAGGTTCTTTAAAAATGATAATTGTCAATTTGTCATATTCTTGATATTGCAGATCCAGTTGTGCCAATAGCATTGCAAATTCATGAATTCAACGCATTAACAGTTCTTGATTTTGATCTGATATTACCCAAACCCAATTTAGCAACTACATCTCCATCTTCATCAACCTAAGGTATGTTTCTTACTTTCTCCCAGATGATATGTTGCCACTGAATTCCTTTTTTACTTGGATATAGTTTAGCATAACTCACTCACCACTTCGCCACCTGAATTCTTTTACTTTTTGATAGCTTGGCTTTAAAGCTTTTGTAGATCAGAGAGTTTTTAGATAGTTTTATGCGCAATTCTTAATTTCCATTCGTATTTTCGTTTTGCTATTCGTATTGTTTTCTACTGTAATGGAATGCAAATTCATGAAATTACTGTGTTTAAGACCCTGTTAAACATCATGGTATCAGTATGGGGAAACAACTCTTTTGGATAATATATATGACACCTACCATTAGTCTATACTTGTGTTATTTTTTGTTTCCTGTTATGAAAACTAACCATCTCTGTCGTACCCATTTCATTTCGTGCTCAATAATATTGAGACAAATAACTCTGATTGGAGTTTCAGGAACACTTTGGAGTTGTTCAATGGCTTTTGTTGTCGTAACCTCTCTGCTAGATATGGTAGAACAACAGCTTCTGCAACGCAATCCATCTCTAAATTGTTATGATAAAGAAATTATTGTGTTTTTGTCGCACAAGCTACGCTTTTTGCAAGCTTTTCTTGAGGAATCTGGGAAGAAAATCAATCGCCCACTTGCTATGGAAGCTGACATCCGGCGTGTAGCTGCTAAAATAGAACGACAAATAAAATCTGTGCTGCGTCAAGATTATCAGGCAGCTAATAGGGGGGGAAAGTATGTATTTTGGGCACTTCCTGATATTTCTATGACCTTGAAACTAGCAGTAATAGATATTGAAGAAATTGAATCAAGGATCTCGATGAAAAATGCAAATAATTCTTCATATGTTGGTTCATCAACAAATGATTTCAAGGAGGAGAGTGCCATGGTTGGGGGTAGCTTGCAATATGCTTCTGATACTGAGAATGAAATCATTGTAGGATTCGAGGAAGATGTAGAAGAGATAGTGCATATGCTCATTCAGTCAGAGTAGAATACTAAAATGAGTGCACATGTGCAGTTGGCATTTGCTGTATTTTAGAGTTGAGTTGCAGAAACATTTTTATTATCTTTGTAAATGAAATGAAATGAAAGCAGTTGAGTGGAGTTGAGTTGCATACAATATATATATATATATATATATATATATATATATTATCTTTGTAAATGAAATGAAAGATTAAAAAACAAAAGAGGTGGTTGCAAAGGCCAAAAGTCAATGAATAGAATACTAAAATGGGTTCAAGTGCTAGACAGCTGTATGTGCAGTTGGCATTTGCTATTTTTTTGCTGCCATTTATTTATTAATTTTTTTCTTTGCTAACCCTTGGTTTCATGGTTTTGTCAGATTATATCTTGGACCCTAGGTATCCGCCTCCACACTCATGAGAAAGTAAACGCAGGAATCAAACCCTCATCTTGCCGGCAAAAGTAAGTCACATAAGTGAGGCTTATCCACTTGAGCAAATGCCCTGAGGGCTATATTTTATTTGTGATTGGAAGAAAAAGACTAAAACTTGTCTGGGTTACAAAGTTCACTTATTAGTTTCATCTAGTCATTTTGATCATTCACTATAAAAAATTGTTAAATTTATAATCAACTTTACAAGATTGTGATAGTTTTTGTCAGTTGACATATCAGAACATAAAGATTATTTTCTTTAGATTTAGTTATTTTATCCAAAACCGAACTCCTGAACTACTTAAAACAACTCATGAAGATATCCTAACCTTAATAATCTCAAATGTTTCCACTCACCAGAAGACCAAAATAGTGACAGATTTGCAAAGATGAAGATATATTTTGCAACATTTAAAAGTAAGGGACCATATTCTTGATATTGCAGACCAAATAACTAAGGACCAAAAATGGTTTTTTTTTTTTATTTTTTTTATTTTTTTTTATTTTTTTTATTTTTTTTATTTTTTTTTTCAATTAAAAATGATTTGGTTGTGTTGACTAGCCATTCACTCCAAGGTTCTTTAAAAATGATAATTGTCATATTCTTGATATTGCAGATCCAGTTGTGCCAATAGCATTGCAAATTCATGAATTCAAAGCATTACCCAAACCCAATTCAGTAACTACATCTCCATCAACCTAAGGTATGTTTCATACTCTCTACCACTTTACCCTCTGAATTCCTTTACTTTTTGATAGCTTGGCTTTAAACCTTTTGTAGATCAGAGAGTTTTTAGACAGTTTTATGCGCAATTCTAAATTTCCATTCGTATTTTTTTTTTGCTATTTGTATTTTTTCCCACTGTAATACAATCCAAATTCATGAAATTACTGTGTTTAAGACACTGTTAAACATCATGGTATCAGTACGACAAAACAACTCTTTTGGCAAATTTTGAGGTGAGAAGAACGTATTTGAACCTATAAATTTCCATATTTTCCCTTGTAAAAGTTGTTGTTTATCCCATTTCAATTATATTTTCGCCATGTATGAATTAAATATTTATGATAGTACATATTGTTAAAGACAAATAATTGGCAGGTTGATAATGGTGATGAACCCAGCCTGAATTTTAATTTTGCATTTTTTGTTAAAATTATTAGAATTTTAGATAATAATATATGACACCAACCATTAGTCTAAACTTGTGTTATTTTTTGTTTCCTGTTATGAAAACTAACCATCTCTGTCATACCCATTTCATTTCGTGCTCAATAATATTGAGACAAATAACTCTGATTTGAGTTTCAGGAACACTTTGGAGTTGTTCAATGGCTTTTGTTGTTGTAACCTCTCTGCTAGATATGGTAGAACAGCACCTTCTTCAACTCAATCCATCTCTGATTCGTAATGTTAAAGAAATTATTGTGTCATTGTCTCACAAGCTCTGCACTTTGCAAGCTTTTCTTGAGGAATCTCGGGAGAAAATAAATCGCCCGCATGCTATGGAAGCTGACATCCGGGGTGTAGCTGCTCAAATAGAAGGAGAAATAAAATCTGTGATGCGTAAAGTTTATCAGGCAGCTAATAGGCGGGGAATGTATGTATTTTGGGAATATTATGATCTTTCTATGGCCTTGGAACAAGCAGTAACAAATATCGAGAAAATTGAATCAAGGATCTTGGTTCAAAATGCAAATGATTTTTCATATGTTGGTTCATCAACAAATGATTTCAAGGAGGATAATGTCATGGTTGGGGGTAGCTTACAATATGCTTCTGATATTGAGAATGAAATCATTGTCGGATTCGACGAGGATATTGAAGAGATAGTGCATATGGCCGTTCATCCAAGGTCCATAGAACGAGACATTATCTCAATCGTGGGGGAAGGAGGCATTGGAAAGACCACATTAGCCAAAGTAGTCTTTCAAGATCAACGTATTACTGCTTGCTTTGAAATTCGAGCATGGGTTCTTGTGTCTAAAGAATATAACCTTAAAGAGATGCTCATTGGTTTATTACGTTGTATTATGCCGATTACTAGAGATATCTCTAACATGGACGAAGCTCAACTAGAAGAGAAACTATGTAGAAGTTTGATGGGTAAGAGGTATCTAATTTTCTTAGATGATGTATGGACTATGGAAGTCTGGGATGCCATCAAAAGATGTTTTCCACATAATTCTAATGAAAGAAATCCAATCATGTTAACTACTCGGGTAGTTGATGTGGCTGAACACTTAAGTTATTTTTGTGACATAAAAAGAATGAAGTTCCAAAATCTAGAGAACAGTTGGAAATTATTTTCTATGAAGGTGTTTTGCCCCCCTGCACTAGAGAAACTTGGGCGTCAAATTTCTTCTCAATGCCAGGGATTACCATTAGCAATTATTGTGATAGCTAGATTTCTGGCAGCAACCAAAGGATCATTAGAAGTATGGAGAAAAGTTGCAGAAACGTTGAAAGAAATGGATTGGGCTGATGACAAAACTTCAAAAATACTTTTGTTGAGCTATGATTACTTGCCTAGTCAATTAAAAGCTTGCTTTCTTTATTTTGGAGTTTTTCCTAGAAATTGTTGTATCCCTATTAAGAAATTAATCAACTTATGGGTTGCAGAAGGATTTTTAAAGCTAGAGAAAAATAAGAGTTTGGAGGAAGTAGCAGAGAATTGCTTGCTTGATCTTACTAACAGAAGTCTAGTTCAAGTTGACAAAGTCAGTATTGATGGCAAAATGAAGGAGTGTAGAATTCATGATCGGTTGCATGAGATTTGTGTGAAAGAGGCTGAAAAAGAGAACATTGTTCGGATTGTCGATGAAACACATGCCCTACAAGTTTATCGATGGATAAGTTGTCAATCAAGTCATTGGCCTATCACTCAAGCTAGTTGTGGGGAAAACATGTCCAGTGAAATCCACTCCATTCTCTTCTTTGGCAAAGATTTCTACTTTTCAAAATGCAGGTTGGTGTACTCGTGTTTGAAAGTGCTAACAGTATTGGATCTGTCTTTGGTTAAATACTTACATGGCATGCCTAGTGGAATAACGGATTTGATTCATTTGAGATACTTGGCTTTAAGCACTATAGGTTCTCTTTATAAGTTTAGATTGTTGAAGCTTCAAAATTTGCAAACTCTCATTGTCTGTTCATGGATGGAAGAGTATCCTTTGCAACTAGCATGTGATATTTTGGATTTGCCACAGTTGCGGCACTTGCGCCTTGAAAAGAGATGTTCACAATACCTCCCAAGCGTGGTTCGAGAAAATCTACAAACTCTTTATTGGTTGAAAGTTACTAGCTTGGAGCGAAAACCAAACTTTAGAATGGTGCCAAACTTGAAGGAACTGGGGATCTACATTGAAGGTGGACTACTGCCTGGTTGTGTTGACAGCCTTGTCCATTTACATCTACTTGAGAAGTTAAAATTTGAAATTGGAAGGGTTGAGCGGTTTTGCCTTCCTACTGCTTTTCCATCAAACCTTAAGAAATTGACATTTCGTCGTTCTTATCTTCCATGGGAAAAGATGGGTGTAATTGGCAAGTTGCAACAGCTTGAGGTGCTCAAATTGAAAGATTTTGCCTTTCGTGGTCCAAAGTGGGAACCAATAGATGGGGAGTTTCGGGTATTAAAGGTACTCCTTATTGCATATTCAGATCTCAAACAATGGAATGTAAATGTTTGTCATTTCCCCGTTTTGGAGCGCCTAATCTTAAGAAATTGTTGGGATTTGGAAAAAGTTCCGGATTCTTTTGCAAACATGAGAACAATGAAATTAATTGAGTTAGGTAACTGTACTTCTCCTCTTGTGGCTTCTACAAACCAGTTTTCTTCTACAAACATGTTATTGTTTAAGAAAATGCCTGATGAGGCACTTCGTGTTCGTCATGTTGGAACTAAGGTTTCTCTCTTACTTCTCTTTAAAATATAAGGTCTCTGTCTTCAAATTCCTTGTGTTAATTTATTTTTATTCTTGTTCTCATTTTCGATTACTTTTGAAGGTTGAATTGCCAAATAATGAAATATCTGAAGAAGAAAATGTGGAAAGCTCGGAGGAAGAAATTGTAGAAATCTCTGAAGAAGAAAGTGCAGAAAGCTCCAATAATGAAAAAGGTCTGAAAGCTCAGAAGAAGGCGTTGAAAGCTCTAAAAAGGAATGCATTGAGACTGAGTAAATTGAAGAGGAAAGTGTGGAGAGCTCTAAGAAGAAAGTGACAGAGGAGGAGGAAGCTATTGTATTGCAATGCAATATCAGTACAGTAGTTGGTATATACATAATTTTACTCTAATTTCGTCCAAAAATGAGGCTATTCATGCAATAGAATTTGAATTTCACTTTTATCTTTCAGCTTGTAGGCTCGTGATTGAAGTTTGTAAGGTGGTCATTGCCGACACCCACTGTTTGGTTTCATCGAGTTTAGAACTGTGTAATGTTGCAGTCCATAAATATATCCGGTTTTCCAGCCCAATCCAGATCGGTGTTTATCTGTCTCTTTTGGTTGATTGAAGATGTTTATCATCTCGCTTTCCGGGGAAAGAAACTTACACAAACAGAAAAGGTCTTTGCTTTAGTTCCCAGTGGATTCTTCAAGCACAGCTCAATGGTTCATCAAAATGTTACGGAGTATATTTTTTTCTTTCAATTTGATTGGAACAATATAATAATCCATCTCTGTGTTATATTGCTTTCTGTTACATCCTAAGTTGAACTCATCAAATTGGTTTGTATCTTGAAAATGCTTATTTTGAGAATGCGATATTTTTACATTTGACAGTATACCATTGCCTTGAACTATATATATTGATTACCTTTGTAAATGAAAGGAAAGATTAGAAAAATAGAAGAGTTGGTTGCAGAATAGAATACTAAAATGAGTGCAAATGGCTACATGTGCAGTTGGCATTTGCTATATTTTACTTGTGATAATGGAAGAAAAAGACTAAAATTTGATTTGGTTACAAAGTTTATTTATCACTTTCATTAGTCGTTTTGATCATTCACTATTAAAAATTATAAAATATATACTTGACTTTATAAGATTGTAATAGTTTTTGCCATCTGGCATGTTAAAACATAAGGATTATATTCTTTAGATTTAGTTATTTTATTCAAAACCAAACACCTGAACTACTAAAACAACCTGTGGAAATATCTTAATAAGTTCTTTGTTAATGATATAGTATAGCATAACCTACTCATCATTTTTACCTCTGAATTTTATAGAGAATTGTTAGTAAATTTTATGCTATGTCGTACCTATTGAAGCACAAAGAGTCAATGTGGGGGCCAATTGACCACACAAGGTCTTTTGCATATATATATATATATATATATATATATATATATATATATATATATATATATATATATTATCTTTGTAAATGAAATGAAAGATTAAAAAACAAAAGAGGTGATTGCAAAGGAATTGTTAGTAAATTTTATGCTATGTCGTACCTATTGAAGCACAAAGAGTCAATGTGGGGGCCAATTGACCACACAAGGTCTTTTGCATATATATATATATATATATATATATATATATATATATATATATATATATATTATCTTTGTAAATGAAATGAAAGATTAAAAAACAAAAGAGGTGATTGCAAAGGCCAAAAGTCAATGAATAGAATACTAAAATGTTTGCAAGTGCTAGACAGCTTTGCAGTTGGCATTTGTTATTTTTTTTTTCTGCCATTTATTTATTAATTTTTTTCTTTGCTAACCCTTGGTTTCATGATTTTGTCAGATTATATCTTGGACACTAGGAATTTTTAATGGCACATAAAAATATGAGTTTGGAAAAAGTGGCAGAGAGCTACTTTGCATGATCTCATTAATAGAAGTCTAGTTAAAATTAATGAGGTAAGTATTGATGGCAAAGTTAAATCATGTAAGATTCATGATCTAGTGCACAAGGTTTGTGTGGCAGAAGCAATAAAGGAGAATACTTTGTGTATTATCAATGAAAATCATGCTCCAAAAGCTAGTCGTAGGTTAAGCTGTCAAACAAGTCATTGGCCAATCACTCAAGCAAGTTATGGGAATTGCACACTAAATATCAATTCTGTGTTCTGCTTTGGTAAAGATGTATACCATTCAAAATGCAGGTTGGTATACCCATGTTTGAAATTTCTAAGAGTATTGGATTTATCATTAGTGAAATGCTCACAAAGCATGCCTAGTGAAATAATAGATTTGGTTCATTTGAGATACTTGGCTTTAAGTACTATTGGTTCTCTTTACAAGCTTCGATTTTGTAAGCTTACAAATTTGCTTTACTCTCATAGTTACTTCATGGATGGAAAAATGTCGTTTGCAAATACGATTTAATATTTTGGATTTGCCACAATTGAAGAATTTGCATGTTGACAAGAGATGTTCACAATATCTCCCTTGCTTAGTTAAAAAAAAAAATCTGCAAACTCTTTATTGGTTGAAAGTTGCCAACTCTTACAGAGAACTAAACTTCAGAATGGTTCCAAACCTAAAGGAACTTGGGATTTACATTGAAGGCCAATTGGCGCCTGGCTATCTATGGAGCCTTGCGTATTTACATCTACTTGAGAAGTTGAAGTTTGAAGTAGGAAGAGTCGAGCGCTTTTATCTTCCAATTAGTTTTCCACCAAACCTTAAGAAGTTGACACTTCGTTATACTTATCGTCCATGGAAGGAGATGGACAAAATTGGCAAGTTACCACACCTTGAGGTGCTTAAACTAAAAGATTTCGCTTTCTGTGGCTCAAAGTGGAAACCATCAAATCAAGGCTTTGTGCAATTAAAGGCACTTCTTATCTCACGATCAAATCTCAAACATTGGAATGCAAGTGCTAATCATTTCCCAGTTTTGGAGCGCCTAGTCTTTAAGATATTGTTGGGAATTGAAAAAAATTCCAATTACTTTTGCATGTATTGGAACACTGAAGTAAATTGTGTTACAATGTTGTTATTCTTCTCTTATGACTTCTGCAATGCAGATTTCCTCTACAAAGAAGTTATTGTTTGAGGGAATGACAGATTGTCCACATCATGTTCGTGAAGTTAGAACTAGGGTTTCTCTCTATTTCTTGTTTATTATTTGAATCTATTATTGGTTTTCTGCCTTCTGATTCCATGTGTTAATTTAATTATTTATTTTTTCGTACTCATTTTCAATTACTTTTTAAGGTTGAATTGCCAAATAACAAAAGCTCTAAAGAAGAACTTGTAGAAAGCTCTGAAGAAGAAAGTGTGGAAAGCTGTAAAGAAGAAAGTGTGAAAAACTCTAAAAAAAAAAAAAGGTGTGGGAAGCTCTAATAAAAAAAGGTTGAAAGTTCGGAAGAGTGTGAGGAAATATCTAAAGAAGAAGGTGTCAAAATCTCTGAATGCATTCAAAGAATTGAAGTGGAAAGTGTTGTAAGCTCTAAGAATACAATGACTGAGGAATTTGTTAATTTTGGAGACTTAGTATGAACTTATGAAAGTCAATGTAGGTATATACCTAAGAAACTTATACTTAAACTCCATATTAACTTTTGCAATTGCCAATTACTTTCTAGTTTTATTTAAAGAGTTCTTTCCAACTTTAATTCATGAACTATTTGATTTGTACTTCCCATCATCAACCTCAAAATCAATCAAAAATTCAGTACCCGAGTTTTTAAAACTTGCCACTTTAGTCCTATAGTCAAGTACTAAATCTGGCACTAAATGTTGTTCTTCTTCGGCTAAAAGTGGCAAGTTTTCAAAGTCGTTAGGTATTAAATGTAGTCAATTTTGGAAGTTGATAACCACAAAAGTGGAAAATCCAACAATCATCTAGTCGAGGGACTAAAACAAGAATCCAATAGTTGATAAATACACCATTTATTGTAATTTTGTCCAAAGAGGTTATTCTGATTTGTATTTGAACTTCAATTTATCTTTCATCAGCTTGTAGGTTCGTACCTGAAGTTAATAAGGTCATCATTGATGAATAAGTTTTCTATTGCTTTCATGAGTTCATGCACTCGCTAATGTTGATGAAGTTGATAAGTATGGCCACTTGTCTAGTCCAATCCAGATTTTTCATGTGCTGCTCAGAGGTGCATCAATATAAGTTGTTGTATTTTTGGTTTCCATTTGATATGTGTTATGATGTTTTTCTGCTCCAATGTCACCATGGCTAAGTTGTAAGTTGTAACAATCCACTGTTCAATTAAGTATTCTTTTACAACATATTTAAATATAATGCTTTTTATTGGTTGAGAGTTGGTAGCTTATGTTGGAAAAAATAGCATAAATTGGCATAAAATGACATTTTAAGTAGGTATTTTGTGGTACAATTATCAGTGAGGTCCACTTCCGATTGGGGCTGGGTCAAAGTGGATTCGGGTTCTTCGTAGTGAGACGAAGAGATTGATATATTGTACGCTCAAAACGGATAATGGGTAAATGAGATATTGATTCTCAAAGTAGACCCATTTGAGTTGGAAAAATGAAGGGAAAAAGTGAAGCTTTTGTCCCACATTGGTTTTGGAAGTGGATTTGCCCCACTATTTATACAAGAGCACTTTTAAGGCTTATTGAATTGTATAGCATAAAGACTCTCTCTTGCGCGGGGAAGGGGAAGGGGAGGGGGGGGGGGTGGGTGGCAAATCAAATCCCAAAACGAGATCGGCGATGCGGTATACCGGAATGGTACGTGACTGATTTAATCGTTTTTAAAGATTAATTCAACTGTTATGGAATTAATTTTTAGGTTAATTCCAATTTTGAATTCCATAATTAATCATCATATTCAATGGTAAGTTTTTGAAGGATTTGAACATGAGTTTAAATGCCTAAGTAAATGCTTCTATATAAGAAGTAGTAGTAGCAGCAGAATTTTACACAGAACATAGATAGTTGTTTTTCAGCTCCAAAATCTCTGCTTCTACTCCTCTATTAGCCTACTGTGTTCTAAGCTTTTCTCTAGTTCGCGGGTTCAAAGTTTGGGTGATCAAATGTTGAACCGTAGCACGTTTTATCCTAGGAAACCTAGGCTATAACGCTCCTAGCACTTGTGGGAGGTAGCAAATAAGGTTTTAAGGTAACGAACAATTCGTTCAACTCGTGCTAACCTCTAACCGAATCATCCACTCTTTCCTTCCTAATTATTTGCCTTTCCATATAATAATAATCTTTTTGTAGGATTATTATTTTTGGGGTATACCAACAAGAAATTACCCAACAATCTTAAAACCTTATTTCCCTTGTTTTCTGTTAGTTC